TCTCGCGTGCAACGCATCAACGAAAATCTGCTGGTTAGAAAAATATACCGGTCTATACCTGTGCTCATTGAAGGGAGCCTGGTGCAACACTCATCGATGGCATCCGAGACCTGGAAGTTAGAGGTGCTGTGAAGCTCGGGCACCACGTGACGCTTAAGGGAGCCTTGGCACATGCACTAAAGGTAGAAGCCGTGCGGCAGGATCATGGTTCTTCCCATCGCATCAAGAAGGTTGCAGCAACTACAGTTCGCGACCGCAATAAGGGATACAGCCCTAGGTGCTATGGCTATGGGGAAAGGGGCCATCTTCGATCCAGCTGCCCTAAGCGAACTGTAAAAAGGGAAGGTGATCGACCTCGAGGGGGTAGTGCGGCTAACGGTAATGCCCAGCAGCAGCAAGATCATCGTTCCCCTCTCGTTAGGGAGGTTGTAGCAGCTACAGTTCGCGACCGCAATAAAAGCCACCGCCCAAGGTACTACGACTATGGGGAAAGGGGCGTTCTTCGATCCAGCTGCCCTAAGCGAACTGTAAAAAGGGAAGGTGATCGATCTCTAGAGAACACCACCACCCAGCAGCAGCAGGAATACGACTTTATGAATCGCAGCGGGAAATCTCATGGCAACGCAGATGCCGTAAATGGGAAAATGGTCAGGGAGACAGCTGTCATTTGCAAATGGTTGGCCCTAAAGCTAAAGTACCGCATGTTCTACAGCTATACCATAATGGTTGTTCAGGAGTCCATCTGTGAGTTAGAAAAACTCTACTGAAGATTCGAGTACGGTTTTACTGGGTCCATTGTCGTAACCATGTCGAGGATTGGTGACGCAAATGTAGAAGTTGTGTGGCTGTTAAGGAACCTCAGACTCGTAGTAGAGGTGCATTGAAATCGTACAATGTTGGTGCACCATAGGAGAGAATAACTCTTGCCGTTTCAGAAAGGTGCAAGAGGTACTCCTAAGACCGTCCGTGTGTCCGGCACAAAAGTTTTGTCTTAAAAACATCATTTTAATAAATAATTATCCATTCGAAAATATTCAGCAAGTAAAATTTCTTGGTGTAGTTCTTGACAATAAATTATTCGGCATGCCTCATATCGTACATACCCAAAAAATGTGAAAAAATATAACATTTATTGGAAGAGTATGGTGAGGCGCCCATCCATATTCTTTAAAACTAATTTACAATAAATACAATTATAATAAGTCGATTAGATTACGCATCATGTCTTCTTGAATCTGTTAGTAAAAAAGCATTAAAATGTTAGATATCGTTCAACACAAGTCTTATTACTTATTTAATTATAAGTGCTATGAATTCGTCGCCTATCAATGTCTTGCAGATTAAGTGAGGTGATCATTCACTTTTTATTAGATTTATCGCATGCTTTTTATTGGGTTCTCCAATTTTAAACACTTACTAAACAAGCTATAATATGTAAGGATACTTTCCTATTTAAAAATTATAGCTATGACCTTATAACGACTACAAAATTATTGTATAGAGAGATAGGTCGCGAAAACATTAGAACAAAACCAAAATGACAGAAGGCTCAAACTAGGCCAAAATTCAACCCATTATTCCACCCAAGCTTTGGCTTTTTTTAACCTTAAATAAGAAACATACATCAATGTTATGCAGAATACGCTTTGATCACTGCTGTAATACGGTTCACCTTACTAGGCTTAATATTAAAAATTCTTCAATATGTGAGTGTGGTTTTGATATTGGTGATCTTAACCATATCTTAACTAGTAAAACTTTTAAAAAAAATAGAAGGTTTTTTAATTCCCTTATGGAATATTTAGATACAAATATATATTTTATTCAATAATTAATCATGTCAATAGTTTTATGTAATATTATTTAATCATTTAAGTGTGGTAATGAGTTTATATTTACTTTGATGTTATATAATATCCTTCATTTATTTAATAAACTTCGGTACAATTCAGTTCATGCTTCATTAGTTAAAATAAGTTAACGTATTTTTTTCTAATTGATCAAATTAAAGCCGGTTGGAGACTTGCGAGCTTCTCTACCAATGTGTTCAGTTCTTCACAGTACACAACTGTAGTAATGCTTATCCCGTTTGGTAAGCAGTTGCGATGAACCATACCGTTTTCATTTAGGGCATTGTTTAGGTGCTGAACAAGGATCCAACCAACTTGCTGAGCACTTGCGATTGTCAAACAGAATCCATTTTTCGTCACAGGTAACAATGCAGTTCGAAATTTCTTCGTTTGTGTGCCTGTTGAGCAGCAAGGCAAGTCTCGACGCCTACTTCGCGCTGCCGATCATTGAGTTCGTGGGTATTTGTCAAGTTTGTTACCTAGCCAATTTGATGCAAATGGACCAATATTGTTTTGACGCTAACATCGAAAGCTGCTGATAATTCAGCATTTAGCGATTAAGTATCATCAGCTTACACAAGAAGCGGGCGAACCAATAACAAGTGGTGCGTTCGTTTGTAGTATTCGTTCCGTAAACGTCGTATATATGTTGCGTGCCACTTGTGTCGCGTTGCTGCCACGACGGTACTTATATTCCATAATTATCCGAATTTTTAACGTATCCATGATAACGAAAAAAATTCACATGCCATGAAAGCATAAAGCTAATCAATAAACAAACGACTAATTATGAAAAAAGAATTCCATATTTTTAAAATAAAAATAATTTAAAATTAGAATCCTTAGCCAAACTAAAATTAATTTATAAGTCTGATTATATTTGTCACTGCACCAATTACAAAATCTACCTTAAAGCACATTCTTGAGCCCTATGTTTGTGCTATACAAAAGCAATTACGATAAAACACTCAAAAATACGAAATAACAAGAAATAAGCACATGTACCATCCGGCGGACATATTTCTTAAACAATTTTTCATTTTTCAATTTGATTTAGAGTTGCCTAATGAAACAAATTTTAAACTACTATTTTTTACTATTACTCCTTATAATACCTCATGTATGTAGCAAATATAAACTAACTTGAATTTAGAACTATGAAGGGATTTTTTACTATTTATTATTTTGGTAGACAAAATTAATTGACTTAGTAACACCGATATGTCTTTTCTTCACCGCTGCATTGGAATGGAAGACGTTTTCAAGCTACTGGGCCGGAAAGGATACGGTATTAACATCAATGACGAGTATATCACTCACCTTCGATTTGCCGACGATATAGTCCTTCCGGCAGAATCGCTGGAGGACCTAAGCACGATGCTCAATAACTTCAATAATGTCTCCCAACGGATAGGTCTTAAGATGAACATGAACAAAATGAAGGTCATCGGTAACGTCCATGTCACACCTATGCCGGTAGTTGTTTGGGAGCACTAAGCTTGAAGTTGTTGACGAGTATGTTTACCTGGGACAAATAGTCTCAATAGGTAAGTCGGGCTCGACGGATTCAACTCGGCTGGGCAGCGTTTGGGAAATTACGACAGGTATTCTCGTCAAGTATACCTCATAACCTGAAAACGAGACTGTACAACGAGCATGTTGCCAGTGATAACCTACGGAACTGAGACGTGGTCCTTCAGTGCTCACCATATGAGGACGCTCAGTCACTCAGCGAGCCATGGAGATGGCTATGCTCGGGGTTTCTCTGCGTGATAAACTTAGAAATGAGGATATCCGCAGTAGAACCAGAGTGAACACTAGAACAACAGATTAGTAAGCTGAAGTGGCAATTGCGGCTATATATCTCGAAGAACCGACAACCGATGGGGGGGGGGAAGTTCTCGAGTGGCAGCCTCGTACCGTTAGGTAAAGTGTAGGGCGACCTCCCACTAGATGGAGTGACGACCTAGTAAGACATGCAGGCGGCTCAGGACCGTACTTTGTGGCATACCTTGGGGAGGCCTATATTCAGCAGTAGACTTGTGAAAATATCATCATCATCATCATCTTTACAGCCCGTAATGATGATGATATTTTTAATGTAGTTAATAAATACAATAACATATAACAATAACTTGCTTAGTAGAATATGTTTTCCTTTTTAGTATTTCCTTTATACCTATCATTAAAAATATTATTAATAATGCTTAATTTTTTGTGGTGGCCACACTATCTTGATTGATTTACATAATGTAGCTAAAAATGCTAGATTCCAGAGCAGCTATAAATTAAAAAGTATTAAGTGTTTCATAAAGCAATGACTAGATGGCGGTAGTTTAACCAACAATAAAATTTCTTAGAAGATACAATGGCATGGTGCAGAACGGAAATTTTCAATCAGAATCATAGTTTTCCTTTATATCTTTCGTCGTTTTAACACATACTTACAAGCAGTATTTATTAACTGGAGGTTGGCAGTAATTGTTACGTTGCCATGAATTTAAAAAAAGTTGTAAAGTTCATGTTGGCTACGTAAGTTTTTGAATTTATTTATATTTTGCAATATAGAATCACTTATAACTAATACATGTGAAATGTGTAAGAAACGGACGAGATAATAATAATAATCAAAAAAGTGACAAGCTTAAAACTAAGCTTAAATAATATAACATTCTAATTATCATGGGCAGTAAAAACAACAAATTAAAACACAGCTATGACGAGTTTGAGACATTTAAAGACCTTTATAAATAAACAATAACATTTACTATTTAAAAATACTAACCCTAATACCTAATATATTATCAAATCCACAACACACCCTTTCGTAATCCTAACGCATAAAATTTTTGGCACTGTTATCGAAGTGAGTCAATCCGATAGCGTACGTACAATCAGTGCGATATCTTCGTAGTACAGATACTAAATTATATGAAGTGGCAAGTCTCCGTGTTCCGTCGAAACACCAATAAAATGAGCGCCATAAAGAGCTATTTTAAACATGAGGTACATTTAAATATGCTCGGCTTAGAGTATTCGAAGCCTTCTACATTCTATCTTAGTGCTTGGCAAACGAATCGCTCAGTGATTCCGTTTCTGGTTTGGCGGACTATACTTTTCCTCACGTCACTTGGCACTGTGCTAACTTCTATGATTATGTATGGCCGAAGTGGAATGTTAGAATTGTGGTTTATTTACTTGACACATTGGGGTATTACGCTGAATACTTTCGCTACTGGGTTTTCAGTAGCGATTTCCGCACGCTGCTATTTCTACGGTCCTATTGGTAAGTTCAAGTTTTCTTTGACATTTATTTCAATATTTTGACACTGTTATTTGGGGTATGTTTCAAAATAGAACCCAGTGTACTGTCCAATGCAAATGATGTCATGAATCGACGCTATACTGGTGATTCGTTCCAAAACATAGGACAGTATATGACGTCATACAATTACGCTATATTGGAAAAGTGTTGGCGATTATTTTGTCATTTTGTGCTCCAAAAATCATTATATCTTCCTAAAGGAGATACCAGCAATTATAATGTATTTTTTTTGTATTTGAATAATTAAAAACAAATTCTGGCATGCTTCATTCAGCGCACACACAATTAAAAATTGTTTTATTGTGGCCGGATATCCGACGCAATATGGCGTGGGCACGCCAGTACAATATAGTGTCAATTGATGACGTCATTTGCATTTGCTAGTGTACTGGGTTGTATTTCGGAACATACCCTTGGGTTCTACGTCACCATAGAGTAATAACATATTACTCTACGGTGCTCTAAAACTTAGAGTACATAATTACTTAATTACTCTGAATCTAAAAATGGTTTATGATTGTTCATAGCTTTTTTGTTTATAATATTAATGTGATAAACAATTTGCAAAATCTAACTAACGGCAGCACTACTGTAAGCCACAGATCCCCAATTCTAACTGCAACATTGTCACAGATGCGTTGTCATCCCCGAAAACTCCGATAAAATATCTCACAGTCTAAAATTCTTTTAGCTCTCTTACATTTTCCAGTTGATGAACTGTAGCAGTTTGCTAATTAATATTACCTACTTTTGCACATTATAAAAACATAAATCAGCCTTATAAATCATTATTCAACGCGCCTCTTACTTAACACATGCGTATATGAAAGGATTTATCTATTGAAAGACAATTCAAAGAACTATACCAATAGACTATTCAATTGAAATATTTACGATGATCATTTAAATTTGGAACATACTCTCCCTCCACGCTTTCGACTTTATAAAAACACTCTAGAGATATGACCATAGACCAACACGGGCCACCGGGGCGGCGGATCGAAGTGAAATAGACATACGCAGGTGTTCCCCTCTGTCAAAGTATAAGTCCACGCGTGCACTAAAAGTAGTTGCAGCCGCACTATTCACTAGACTAAGTCTAGTTGTACGGTTGAAACGACGTTCTTCCAAAAGTGCTGAATTTTTCAGCTTTTGCTGCAAAAAGAGGAGTTTCACGTCAAATATTACGAAAAGATGGCATTACTTTTCATGTATGTATAAGTAATTTTTAATCACATTGTTGCTATTTACTTCTTTTTAAACTTAAGTATTGCAATAATAATAGTCGTGTTGTTTCGGATTTGCTTACGAGTACCAACATAGCCATCATACAATATGATATATTTTGTTACGTGGTAAAGCCATGCTGCAATTATATTAGTAGTATAGTTGTAGCACGAATGGGTCGGCTCGACCGGGGAAGGACCACGCTCTCACAGAATACCAGCGTGAAATAGTAGCTTAATGCTGCTGTATTTCGTATGGTGAGTGTAGAGAACCGGAGACCCTTTTTACTGGAAATGAGGCATTCCATCTCAGTCCTCACGGGTGACAACGCATCTGCATTTTGATTTGTAATGGAAGATAGATGTAGATGTCTATGGGCCGCAGCAACCACTTACCATCAGGTGGACTGTGTGCTCGTTTGTCACCCTATCCTATAAAAAAAATGAAGATCAGTTGTTGAGCATCTGATCCGAGCCTGTATCCGAGTTGTCGCTGGCGCCAAACGATGCTGTTATAATGTACCTATATGTGTTTGAAATTATTCTTTCTTTCTTTTTTTTAAACGTTACCCCTACACTAGGATTTCCTCCTATATCGTGGGGGCAGTTTACAAACATAAATTGCACAAGGACAAACATCCAGACCATACAAATACTTGTTCCGTGCGGGATTCGAACCCGTCGTCAATTATTAGTTTGTTGTTTTAATCGCTGGATGCGTTTAGTAGTGACAGGCGATTGTTTTTGTGTGCGATAACAGTGAGCTTTCCAATAACAGTGAACTTTTATGGTCTGATAAAAAAGGAAATAAAATTTCTTTCGTAAGTGAATCTCAAGACATTGGGGATTATATCAGCATCACTTAAAATATACGCTGTGCTGCGTCTATCTATTTTTGTTGGTCTACAGAGCAAGCGCATAAACTTGATTAAAAAGATACAATTATTAATACTACCTACGCATTTAATTATTATTAATTTAATTATACTTTGTAATTTCTAAACATTATAATAGAGTATTTTAAATATTTATATTACCTACTAGCTTGCTAGGCAGACGTTGTTCTGTCCTTTTCAACGACCCTTTGTAATTTCCTATTAAAAATCTTTAAATTCGAAAAAAAAAATTGTGGGTCACAATGTGCAAAAAAAATATCCTATCTCTCAAGTTGGATCAAATTGAACACGGTGTGCAAATTTGATTATAATCGGTTAAGTAGTTTAGGAGTCCATCGCGGACAAACAACGTGACACGTAACTTATATATATTATGATTATTGACGTAAAAACGCTACGTGTATATGTAAAAAACAAGTTGCTAGATGTAACCTCCACTGCTCAGCCACACCACGACGAATTTTTACGTGATGGAGCCATGCTGCAACAATAATATTATGGTTGTAGCATGAATAAATCGGCTCAACTTAGAAAGGACTACACTCTTACAGAATACCAGCGTAAAATTACTGCTGTGTTTCGTATGGTGAGTGTAGAGAACCGGAGACCCTTTTTACTGGAAACGAGGCGTTTCAACGTAGTACTCAGGGCTGACGACGTATCTGGATTTTGATTCTTAATTGAAGATAAATATGATTTCTATGGGCCACATCCACTTACCATCAGGTGGACTGTGGATACTACACTAGGATTTCCTCCTATATCGTGGGGGCAGTTTACAAACATAAATTGCACAAGGACAAACATCCAGACCATACAAATACTTGTTCCGTGCGGGATTCGAACCCGTCGTCAATTATTAGTTTGTTGTTTTAATCGCTGTATGCGTTTAGTAGTGACAGGCGATTGTTTTTGTGTGCGATAACAGTGAGCTTTCCAATAACAGTGAACTTTTATGGTCTGATAAAAAAAGAAATAAAATTTCTTTCGTAAGTGAATCTCAAGACATTGGCGATGGTATCAGCATCACTTAAAATATACGCTGTGCTGCGTCTATCTATTTTTGTTGGTCTACAGAGCAAGCGCATAAACTTGATTAAAAAGATACAATTATTAATACTACCTACGCATTTAATTATTATTAATTTAATTATACTTTGTAATTTCTAAACATTATAATAGAGTATTTTAAATATTTATATTACCTACTAGCTTGCTAGGCAGACGTTGTTCTGTCCTTTTCAACGACCCTTTGTAATTTCCTATTAAAAATCTTTAAATTCGAAAAAAAAATTGTTTGTCACAATGTGAAAAAAAAATATCCTATCTCTCAAGTTGGATCAAATTGAACACGGTGTGCAAATTTGATTATAATCGGTTAAGTAGTTTAGGAGTCCATCGCGGACAACGTGACACGTAACTTATATATATTAAGATTATTGACGTAAAAACGCTACGTGTATATGTAAAAAACAAGTTGCTAGATGTAACCTCCACTGCTCAGCCACACCACGACGAATTTTTACGTGATGGAGCCATGCTGCAACAATAATATTATGGTTGTAGCATGAATAAATCGGCTCAACTTAGAAAGGACTACACTCTTACAGAATACCAGCGTAAAATTACTGCTGTGTATCGTATGGTGAGTTTAGAGAACCGGAGACCCTTTTTACTGGAAACGAGGCGTTTCATCGTAGTACTCAGAGCTGACAAAGTATATGGATTTTGATTCTTAATTGAAGAAAAATATGATTTCTATGGGCCACAGCATCCACTTACCATCAGGTGGACTGTGTGCTCGTTTGTCACCCTCATTCTATATAAAAAAAAACGACGTAGCATAATAGTTAACCCAACCCCAATGTTTTGTAAGCAGATATTAATATTGTAAAATTGTAAACTAATATAAATAACCTTTTCATTACGAATTCCAAATGTTGAAACTCATAACGAAAAGAAATTTATCACATTACATCGCCACTATCGCATACTAAATTTCATACTCACTATTTATTTGCTCATTAATTTTGACAGGCGCAGATTTTAGTTTGCCATGGTACGTGAAAACTTATTGGGTTCTGTACAACAGCGCAGTACCAATAGCTTTCCTCATAACAGTGTTTTACTGGACTATTCTTTACGAAGGTAAGGTTTGACATCCTATAAATGTAGCTAAAACACGTCATAGAGATCGTAGACCTTTGTGAAAAACTTTAGCCGCCACTCCGAACGATTTCTACAAAAGCGTACGTTAGACATGCACGCTGAACGCCCCGCCCCATATGAGAGCATTTGTAAAGTACGGCACGTTATAGCGGCGTATTCGACAAATATTTTGAGCTGATTGATACAAGCCGTGGGTTACTCATGCATGTATACCGTCCGCCACGTCGACAGGTGCGGATAAAGTTAACAAGCTATGTGGTGGTCCACTTTTTCTTTTTTCAAGCTTTAAATATTACGTATAAATGCTTTTTCTTAGACCACATGGCTCTTAAGTAATGCGGGACCCACAGGGAGTTGCCTACTATGCCTTTAAGTTAATTCCGTGAACGCCCTTACCCTGAGGAGTATGATAAAGTTAAAGCTCACTGAAAAATTTAGATGTCCTTAAATGCTTATAAAACTCACATGGTTTCTTCACGGTGTTTTTCTTTACGGCTAACACGTTATAAGTTAGCACTTTAAATAATTATATTATATTATATTATCAATTTCAATTTGCCACTGTGGCGTGGCGGCAAGAGAACTTACCCGTTGAGGTAACGTAACTTCCAATACATCACTTTCGGCAATTGGTTGGTGAGTCGATACACTCGCACTGCTTAATACCACCAGCCTAAGGGATAAAACTACGGCATTATATTAAGATGATTCAAGAGGATGATTTATATGTATAATGCATGCATATTTAAGTAGAAAATCATATAAATAAAATCAATTGCCGCATGTGACAAAGATCATCACTTGAGCACGGGTGGACTGATTTTCATTAAATTTTTGTGTGTTTGTGTGGGTTTCTTGATGGTTTGTATTGATATTAGAACCCGGTAGGTGGCGCTGTTGTCGAGATCCAAAAATCACTCGTGCGAAGTCGGAGCCGATCGCTAGTTAAATTAATATACAAAACAAAATACTTCAGTAGTTCTAGTAGTCCTTAATGTTTTCCACATTATTCACTATTGTATAAATTTTATGGCTTTAAAAATATCTGTTTTTATACGTGGTAGAGCTATGCATCAGTTGATAGGTGTAGCACGAATGGGTCGGCTCGACCGGAGCAGGACCACGCTCTCACAGAATACCAGCTAAAAATAGCAGCTAATCGCTGTTGTGCTTCATATGGTGAGTGTAGAGAACCGGAGGTACTTTTTACTGGAAACGAGGCATTCCATCTAAGTCCTCACGCTACGGTGATAAGGCTACATTTTGATTCGTAATCGAGGATAGATGTAGATGTCTATGGGCCACAGCAACCACTTACCATCAGGTGGACTGTGTGCTCGTTTGTCACCCTATCCTATAAAAAAATTGTAGTTATTTTTATCCTATTTTAATCAAAATATGTAACTAATATTGCAAGAAAACCCTTATATTTTCCTAACAAATTAACCTGCTCGCCATGTAATTTGTCATATATTTCACTTCTTTCCTAAATGACGCTGTTCTGGTGGCAAAATAGTCGAGGATCATTCCTCCTGTGATTTAAGCCGCCCTTACCGGGGAGTAAACTGTTGCGGGATGATATAAATAAAGAAAATTATAGAAAAACAAATGTTCAAACAACAATCTGTTTTTTTTTACAAAAGTTTACTTCGTTTGACTAATTGAGCAAGAAATGTAAAAGGCAATGTTTTTTTTCTTTTGATATCTCGGAGAAGAAAAATCTCTTATGAAAAGCCCCTTTCGCAGTATCTGAATATCAAAGGAACAGAAAGCAAAGTGGAAATGATAATATGGCACGAGAGAAAACACCTAAATACAATCCAATAATATAATATTATGGTAAACTCTTTGGGTCAGTATTTCATTTTCTACTAAAATGTAGTAGATATTTGTATTTAGATTACATTGGAATAAATAATCAATTTTTTTTTTTACTAGTAAGAGTGATTAACTATCGTACATCTTAATAAAAGTAGGTGCTGTTGCCCATAACTCCAAAACGTAATGATTACTATTATGTTATTATTCTATATAGAATAAGATAAAATATAAATATATATAATAATATATATCATTATTATATATATTTATATTCTTTGATAGGCACCTTGTTTAGTTTTCATTCACTCTAGACGTCTAAAAATTGTCGTCGAAAAACTGATGACAATACAGTAATTTCATAAATTTAGGTCACAGATTAAATATACTAGTGATCCGCCCTGGCTTCGCACGGTTGATTTCTGGATCTCGACAACAGCGCCGCCTACCGGATCCAATGGTGAATTTAAACCATTCTCGAATCAACTTAATCACACACACAAAATTTCATCAAACTCGGAACGGAAGAATTTTATATATATGATATGAGCTAATATTCTTAGTGATTCTCCCTAGGATTGTCTAATTTTATTATTATAATACTCGCGGGACGATAAAAGTAATAAGTCTCTCACGTCAGTATCTACAACACGTTGGTATATTATGTCTGTAAAAAGTATAAGTATTATGTATGTAAAAAGTATAATATAATCACCACGTTTTATCTGTAATGTACTTAGATCTACTCGCTCAATATACACAACTTACGGTCGCTCAGAGACAAGGTGGAACCGGGAAGTTTCGTACCGTACGCGTTTAATCTCCACCGATACCACTAATATTGTCATCAGGAAAAAGCCAAAAGGCTAACAGCACTAACATCTCATAAACTAGACGTGTTAGTGCTCGACGATGAAGTAAGACATCGTAAAATATTCTTGTTTATATTACAAGCTGCCAGAATTGTTTAAAAAAAATGCTTGGAGATTCAATCATTCGCACTGGAGCGGCAGATTTTCCTTCGCCGCAACCCTCTCAGAAATCAGATGAAGCCTGTGTTCCATTTTGGGATGCTTATAGGCTTTTACTTCACTTACTCTACGATAGTAGTTTGTTTTACCAAAAAGTGTATATGGTCACATTATCTTATCAAATATTGTTTGCAGCGGGCTTTGAGGAAGAAATGAATTATGGGTTGGACGTAGCTGTTCACGGTTTGAACTCGATAGTGATGTTTCTCCTGCTGGCGTTTTCCTCGCATCCTTCAAGACTTTTGCACGTTTATCAGCCTTTTATCTTTGGATTAACATACGGGTTTTTTAGTGCAATCTATTATCTTGCAGGTGGATTGGATAAGTAAGTGATTTTAAATTTTTTACACCTATTATTCTCTTTAGGAATTATTTTGTAATAAATTTACAATAATGATAACATTAATTATTACTATCCATTGTGAGTCCACTCCTGAATATTGATCTTCCCGGTTAACAATCAGACAACCCCTTCCCATCTGCATTCATTGACTTCCTGCATATGTTCTTATCAGGCTATCACTTCAACTACTTACTCTCAGATTACTGGTACAAGGTTGCCACTCGAAGCAATCTTTCATTTTCATTGGTCCACGGTTCTCCGAGCTATATGGCCGGCCTATTACCATATCAGTTAACTGATCCTTAAAAACAATTATTACAAAAAAGGTATATTAGAAGAAAGGTTTTCGAAAGCAGGTTAGCAAATTCAGCGTATAGGAGCCCTAAGACACTATAGTTAAGAGGTGCAGGTCTGGGTTTGGCGATTTTTATTCCCTTGAGAATCGAGATATATTGCTAAACGCTGCCGTTGAAGCACCCGAGTAACTTCTTTGCTCATGTCGTTGAGGGTTCTTGCATTTGCGATAGGTTCTCATCATACCAACGTAAATGCTCTGAACAACAACAGTAAAAATAATAAACAATAAATAAATAATGAAAGCCCTTGGCCGATAGGTCTAATCTGCCGATTGCTTCCTTTACTATACTTTACTATATTTTATGCATGGTAATAAATTCAACACCTTTTTTATCTTATTCTTTTGATCTTATTAATCATTTTTATATAGATATGTTTATATACATCCCAACCAGACAAAAATACGGTATAAATAACCAAAATAATAATAAAAATTATGAGCACAAAGTAAGGTTTACATTATAACCTATAGTAAATTTAAACAAAAAAATTGAGTTATAAATTGTACAATTTTTTACACTACCGTCTAAACTGGGACGAGCCTGTATTTTAGTAATTAGTCTCTTACAGTGAGACCAATGTTCGCAATTAGAAAAAGTAATCGACATATAAGATTAACTTATTATCTACTACGTTACGAAGTCGCAAAACTCAACAATTGTTTGCGTTTACACTAACTTAATTTGCATTCATTGACCTCACATCACAATGTTTCTTTTGTAACTAAAATAAATTTTCTATTATATTGTCCTACAAATCAATCCGAACCTTATAAGTGTAGTTAACTGGACAGAAACAGAATCATTTGAAGCATGAATAAGCATGCTATCAATTTCCTGTTGGAATTGTTTTATGGTCTTAACTTATTATGGCAATAAGGGCATAATATTTTAGAATGCAATAAATGACGCATTTGTTGCAAGGTCTCCTGCTCACCACGATCCACAGGTGGGTTGGTGAGTGGAACGCCAATAACCTCACGTAATTAAATCCTTCAGATCTTGAAAAAAATAGTTTAACCATCACTGATTTAAAGAATTCGGATTCGTCATGTTCGTTTGGACATTAATTATGGTCTTAAGAACAGAGTTAAGAAGCATACAGCCTATTTGTGAGTTTAGTATTTAAAGAAGATGATGTATAACATGTTCCTTAGAATTTAAAATTTTATTGTACTCTATTATATCATTTATATATGCCGTTAATAAACTGTAATAGCTCAAGATATAAACGATCGCCGTAAAATAGGTGTAGTAGGTAGGTACCTACATGTGCAAACTAAGTTCTATACTTTGCCGGTACTACTTAATGAAATTATTAATTGAAATTTTATATTTGAGTGCTGATTAACCGCCTTTTAGGAGGTAAAGATCATGGCTGAAGTTAAATTTAAAAATGACTAAAAACCAGTAATTAAAAAGAAGAGTACTTTTTTTTTTTTTGTGTATATATATATATATATATATATACTGGAGCTCGCCAACAGGGTATACGAACACGGTGGAGTCTTCCTTGCCCTCAAATTCTCTCAGAAATGACAGAAGGCCTGTGTCCATCACTAAGACTTAGACATGCATATATGAGTAGTTACTGTACTTATAAGTTAACTTCCATATATATTGTCTAATTGACAATAGTCGACATCATTGTTAACTACAATCTAAAGAAATACCACATTTCTATTAAGTACTAGCTTCTGCCCGCGACTTCGTACGCGGATCCTGTTGCTTATGCCAGCGACAACGGGGTCGTCAAAATCGAAGATCTGAAACGTCTGATGTTGAATTCTAAGAGCCCGGGGACGGGAAAGCAACGTTCGCGAGACGATTCGAGACGTTCTAGATCTTTCATTTTTGTAAGTCAACAGGGAATGCCCATCAGACTAAACAACTTTTGCTAAGACGTCATTCCTATATATGTTATAGAGTCGCTGGGCTTTGGATGGAGTGTAACTCCATGTGTGTTATTAAGTTAATATATTGGTAATATTGTTTAGATCACGTTTACAAGAGGCTTAAGTACTTATAGAACAAAAATACTTCAGCGCAAAGCTTCCGGGTAAACTATGTTGAAAGTTGACCCTTCCGGCACGTGAACATAAAGATTTCTGGAACTGCTAACCCGGGAAAGAGCGACGTACAACTGACCATGCGAGAAACAACTGACACCGAGATCTACTCCAGCAACACGAAAAGTCTGCCCTTGAGCCTTATTAATTGTCATTGTATAACACATTGATACTGGGAATTGTGTTCTTTTAAATTGAAATGGAAAATTATTTGATATTATGGGAATTCTGGGAATAAAGACGGTTTCTCCTGCACCGCAACTTGTTAGAATTTGAGCCTCGATTATATTTTGTTGCAACTGGGTTACTTTTAGCCGAGTTCCATTGCAAAGTTGTGGTGGTCTTAAATTTCGGAGCAGAATAATCGGAATGCCAATTTTTAAACAAATTTTATGAGAAGGAAGTCCGGGCATATTTAAAGAATTTAAAAATTCTATCGGGTAATTAGTGACTTCTTGTTTATCGACCATTCTATTTATTGAACTATAAACTTTGCTTTGCCCTGTATATTCGACAGTATTTTGTTATTAATCTCAGATGCCTGGTCATTGCGAGGAGTTAAAATGGATTTTTCGCATAGCCAAGAACAGTCCCTATTTAATATAATTGTTACGTCACCGTAAACCGACGATATAAGATGTGGTTGGGATTGCACTATACAACATAACTCAGGCGTCAGAATAAGTTTTCCTTGGTGTAGTTGTGGATAGGTACCTTCACCAATCTTTAATAATTTATCAGAAAATTGACGATCATCCTGGTTATCTCCAGTTCTCACTCGCATGTTTATGGTCAAATGTACCGATTGTATATCATGCCACAAATAAGAGCTTTTTAGGCATGCCCTAACCTCATCAGCTCGGGTTCCCCGTGGTATTACTGGTAAGGTTTGTCGGAAATCACCACAAAATAAAACTGTGATACCGCCCATTGGTTGATCATTTTGTCTTATCCTATATCCTATACCTTTAAACGAGCCATTCTTGTATATATATATATATATATATATATATATATATATATATATATATATATATATATATCGGGATCTCGGAAACGGCTCCAACGATTTTCATAAAATTTAGTGTCCAGGGAGTTTCGGGGGCAATAAATCGATCTAGCTAGGATTTATTTTATTATTTTTAGAAAATGTCCTTTTGTCCGTGTTTTCAGGCAATAAAAAAAACTGCTACAATATAAGAAGGTAAATTTTGACAGGTTGCCAACGATCGTAATAGCTCAGATGGGATGTTATTCGGGCGTGATATCGGTGATCCGTGGTTCGCGTCCCGTCTTTGGTCCGCCTTTTTTTCCTTTTTTTTTCAAGTTCCCTTCTTTTGTGAGAAAATCTATTATTTCGAGCCCTTTTTTTAGTATTTTTTAAAAATCCGAAAATTTTAATTAAACTAATTGCACTCATGATTTTTTATTCAAATAACCAGTTCAGTTTTTTCTATTATGTCAATAAGATCAAAAACTATTATTCATGTAATTTGTATATAAATGTAACTTAAAAAAACTGAGCAAAGCTCGGTCATCCGGGTACTATCCCTTAAAGTTCTGTCTACTGCTTCTACTCCTTTTCGGTGGGCCATCGTACATTCATCTCATATGATTAAATTACACTCACGTAATACCTTTTCTTTGTCGCTATTTCTTGAAATACTGCTGGTTGGACTTTCCGTGCGATCTAAATCAATTGGTATTTTAAACATAGTGTGAGCAGTTTTACCTCCTGGTAGCAATGTTGCAGCTATACCTGATGAAGCCACGGCAAGAGCAATTTCACGCTGATTTCGAACATAAGCTAATATTAATTTAGTCAAAAATGTTTTCCCAGTTCCTCCAGGTGCATCTAAAAACCATATTGTTCCCAAATTATTCTGAAAAGTTTCGCACGGGTGTCATTGGGACACCGTTTTCTAATATTGCCAGCAGTTCCATTTCGTTGTAACCAATCTCTGCGGAATATTCCCTATTGGTAACCTCTGCGACTGAGGTTGGTGTTGGCAAACCATATTCACAGAGTGATTTACCGCCTACTGCTGTTAAGTCTTCCTGAAGAGCTAATAATCGTTTTTTAGGTGGCATTGTGTAAAAAAGGGAAGAGCGCTTCTATTTTCATTTTTAATTTTTTCAATATTATATTAATAAAAATATAAAAAAAAAAAATTATAATTACTTCAAAAAAAAAAAAAAAAAAAAAATGGTGTGTGTGTGGGGAGAAGAGTGCGTTTTGGCTGGGTGTTTACACCCGTATCGACGGTATTCAGTTACCCAACAAAATAATCTACGTTAGAGGTCCTAACTATAGCTACCATACACTTAAAAAAAATCGATTAAATGCCTGCTTAAATAAATCATTAAAATAAATCATTAAAACGGACTAAATAAATCATTAAAACCAAAATTAAATTCTTAAAAATATATAAGTAGGTACCTACCTAAACTACGTCTAATAGAATGAAATAACCTATTTGATACCTAGGTACCCATTTAAAACTACAGCTAAATAAAAAAAAGTTTAATTTATAATTAAGCTAATACTAAGAAATATTTAAACACTACCAAAATAACTAATACCTATTTTATAAAATAACAACAAAGAAATCTAAAAATAAATTATTAAACGTAAGAGTAGACTAAAAGTCGCGCTGATAAGCACGGTTTGTTAAAATCAATTATCGTCTGTCAATAAGGTCGAACACTCTGAACGTCTATTCGCATCAACATCCGAATATTGTATGAAGCTCGCACCCTTTTTTTTTGCGCCTGAAGTAAATATGGGCAACCCTCCGGAAAGCGGGGAAGGGAGGCGGTGAATGCTCATAGTATGTGTTATGTGGAGACTTTTACCCACTAAACACCGCCTTTATGGATTGGCTTACCGATCTGACGAGAGATCTCTAAGCTGTATACGGACGCGACCCTCCTTGGCAGAAAGGAGGGCGCAAGCGGCGAAAAGCCGCTTAGAAGTGTGCCTAACTAAGGCAGATTAAGGGATGTGTTATGCCGCCAGGAGGCAGTTCAGGTCAGCCGAAAGCTTGTTGGGGGGGTCCGAGAGAGAGTTTCTCGGTCTGCGCACACTATATCCAGTGTGGAGAGGGGCTGCATAAGCAGCTGTCTTACGAATGAGATGATTTGGGTGGGACTCTGAGGCTTTTAAAAATCTCTCAGAGAGTGATTTAAGGAACTGCTGGATTGTTGGGAGCTCTAAGTCTCGGTGTAGGTCGGCATCACGGACATAATAGAGCGAGTTAGTGGCCCTATGACAGAATAGATTTTGAACTATTTGAAGTTCATTCATAATTTTGGATTTAGCATATGAGAAAATGGGGGTGCTCGCACTCGGACCCCCCGCCTTTTTATACCTCCCGCCGCGAGCCGCGTCGAGCGCGGCGACCGTTACACAAAAATAATCCTTATAGCATGATTCAGTATTCACGCGCGATGGCTTATTAGCGTATTTCATGTATAACTTTGGTGTTTCTATACCGATTTCTATGATTCTTTTTTATTGAATAGATAATAATGTTAACTTTTTTTAATTAGGGATGAGTGAGAGTGTTATAAACGTAAGAGTAGACAAATATAATCAGAAACCTCCGAACTGCTAAGCTATCGGGAGTTACACGTGTTATTGTGAGTCAACCATAAAAGATAGACATATGCTGTCGTGGGATATTTTTTATATAATTTTAAGGAAAAGATTTCCGTTATACATGATTTCTGTGTAGCTTTAACCATTAAGGCTGCACACGCGACGGAAGATTAAAAAATGGAGTAATTTCTCCCGTTTCCCCAACATTTCTCTTCACTGCTCTACTCCTATTGATCGTAGCGTGATGAAAAGTACAGTATTACCTGCCCAGAAGTATGAAAAATGATTGTACCAAGTTTCGTTAAAATCCGTTGAGTAGTTTTTGTTTCTATAACGAACATACAGACAGACAGACAAAAATTTTACTGTTTGCATTTTTGGCATCACTATCGATTGCTAATAACCCCCTGATAGTTATTTTGGAAATATATTTCATGTACAGAATTGACCTGTCTACAGATTTATTATTAGTATAGATAAATGCCCATCACAGCCCGGGAACATGAGTGGATAAATTCCGTTTATCTACTCATGTGTCCCGGGGATGTCGACTAAGGAAAGCGCTGTAAGGGATGTTGTACACATACTCGTACTACATATAAATTGCGGTATGGTATCCCTTGAGATGTATTTGTATTAATGCCATGTATAACGCTGTAAAAATATAATGACACACTTGCATAAAGATGATGATGATACATCAGATATCTAAAGATTTATTGTTTTTATACATCACATTATATGCAGGTAAAAATCAAGCACACACACACGGGCTTTCTCTCTTTTCTGACAGCAGTATGCAGCGATTAGTTAGTCGTGCTGCTACAGTGCGTGTTGACAGATGTCACGTGGCTTCAAAACATATGTATTTCTCAGACTCTCGCAATGTTTTCTTTCACCGCTGAACAGGTGATAAATTAGTATTTAAATTTCAATAAACAATTTCTTTAGAGTCGATGGAGATCGAAACGGAATTGCTAGGGAACGCTTAGCCCCTAAGCTACCGCGATCCTCATTTTAAATTTAGGTATACATTTTAAAATATAAATAATGTTTCAGGTTTGGTAACGCATTCATCTACCCTGTCATAAACTGGGGGAAACCAGGACCTACATTAGGCATGGTCGCAGTAACAGCATTGCTTCTCGTCGCACTCCATCTTGCTACTGTGGGACTGGCGGCAATACGCGATGGAATTGCCTCGCGCTGTTTGCGGCCTGCAGTCATCACATACATTGAAGAAGGATTGCCTCTTCGCTCACCTGCTCAAACAATAGTTTAGCATTGACCTTGCTGTTTGTTGGAGCACATAATTTGGGCTATTAATAAACATTAAATAGCTCAAAATTATTTAATACAGACAGTGTTTACTAAACACCGATGTAGCCCAAACGGGAATCGAGGGAAAAATAAATTGATAAAAGCGAAGTTAATGCTTAATATAATTAATACTCAGTATTATAGGTATCCAAAACTGTATAAATTGTAAACACGTATGTAGATTTTCTTAAAAAAATATGTATTAAATTTTCTTCCGTTGTGTTCAGAATTTAGTTTCCTTCTCACTGAATATAAGTATATATTAAATTTTCTTTCGTTTTGTTCGGGGTTTGTTTTCCTTCATAATAAAAATGAACAGTATTCTTTATATTCAGAAGTGCATAAAGAACAACTCCAAACAAATGTTACTGAATATAAAAACGTCAGTTCATAGTGTTCCTTTATACCTAATGTTTAAAAATTACGGCCTATATAGTATATAGGTATAATACTTTATTGTATATAGTATATATGCCTAAGCAGGGGCATGTATATTGTATATACGTGCCACTCAGGCCTCCTCTCATTACAGAGAGGATTTTAGGACAAGGAAATGTCCGGCGCGCTGCCCCAATGCGTGTTGGCCAACTTCGATTGTATTCGAAATATTTTTTTCTTATATCTCAGATTAGTATTTTTCTTCACGATATTTTCCTTCACTAATGAGCACGTAGTAAATGAGCAGATAAAATTGCAATTAACAATTTGATTGGTGACGGCAGGGTTCGAACCCGGTTAACTCGCCTTCTGTTATATTTACAGCGAGCGTTAACCATCTGAGCTACCACGGCTAATGCTTACTTTGTACACATTTAAAAATTCTTTCATAATAGTACTAATTATCCCTAACAATCAGTCCGCAGTATTTTTACCAAGTCTTACAGATTCCTATAAATATAGTCATAATTAACATAATACTCGTATTATATCGCGTGCCTAGCGTATGGAGAGCGGGAAGATCTTTTAACTAACTTATGCTAGCCTGGATAAACCTCGAAAAGAACTACTTCTAACTTGAAACGAATAATGATGATGGTGGTGTATGATGACCTTGAGTCTGAATTTGGTAAAAACTAACTCTGTACATTACAAAGTGATCAATCTCATCTTTTTATATATAGTTATTCCTACCTGCTCACAATAGAATTATTCTCTATTGTAAAGAGTCAGAATGAGTCAAAAAAGGCACGTATGGCAATTCACAATGCTGTGTTGGTCCCTACTTTAACGTATGGTAGTGAAAGTTGGGTGTGGCAGAAGAAGCACGAGAGTAGAATAAACGCAATAGAAATGCGGTCGTTAAGGAGTATGTTAGGGCTGGAACTGAATGACAGGGTGAGAAATCGTATGATAAGAGAAGAGTGTGGTTTGCAAGATGATGTTGTAACCGGGATTAAGAAAGGAATGCTTCGGTGATTTGGTCATGTGGAAAGAATGAATGAGGAAAGTGTGACAAAGAAAATTTATGTTGCAGAATAGAATGGCAGAGTCGGAAAGGGACATCCTAGGCGAAAATTTATCGACCAAATTAGCGATTTGTTGAAAACGGGCTAAATTAGGAGTACCCTTAACCGACGAGCCTGTATGCGTAGGTTATATGGATGTGAAGGAGGCGAGAGAGGTCTGTCAGGATCGTGCCAAATGGAGGTCTGTAGTCTCTGCCTATCCCTCTGGGTGACAGGCGTGAGTGTTTATGTATTTATGATACATACATAAATACATAAACCCTACACTATCTACCTGCACCTGCTCTTAAGTCACGTCGTTATACATAGTACGGATAATTGTTAAGTGTAATTTTTATTAATTTGAATTCTACAGCTCTAGTATCTATTAAATTAAGTAGGGTATTCGAATAAATAAATATTTTTCTTTTATCAACCTAACTTGTTTTAATCAATTAACACAAAAACCAAGGTGACTTCATTTCCTCTTCGTAAATTACAAATAGAATATAATTATGCAAATTTTGTTGAAAGGACATTTTGGATAACAGGACATACTGGTGCCTTATTTTATACTATTATATACATAAAACATTACATTTGTTTTATTAGATAAAAATAAAAAAACGTGTTTTGTTTCTATCGTCTTATTTTTCTTCATCACCCGGTAAAAGTAAATACGAAGATGAACATGAACCTCTCACGATCCTAGATGAATTTAGTGTACCCTTGGCAGGAGGCAGCTTTGTGGTTAATAAATTATTACGTCAATTTATGGAATTTGTTTTTTCATTTAAGTTTACGATGTAAGTTATTACGTGGTAGAGCCATGCTGTGGATATATAAGTAGTATAGTTGTAGCATGAATGGGTTGGCTCGACCGGGGTAGGACCACACTCTCACAGAATACCAGCGTAAAGTAGTAACTTAATGCTGCTGTATTTCTTATGGTGAGTGTAGAGAACCGCAGACCCTTTTTACTGGAAATAAGACATTCCATGTCCTCACGGGTGACAACGTATCTGCGTTTTGATTCATAATCGAGGATAGATGTAGATGTCTATGGGCCACAGCAACCACTTACCATTAGGTGAGCTGTGTGCTTGTTTGTCACCCTATCCTATTTTAAAAAAATGTGTTTATTTTCGTGAAATTTATTTCCCTGCAAATGAGAATTAAATATTATAAATAAGAAAATATAAATGTGGTGTGTGTTGGTGGGCATCAGAGATTCCATCCCCTGTCTCTGTAAGAAGCGACTATAGGAAATATCACAAAGACCTCATTGCTCCATAGATAGCAGCTATCTTATTCTTACTATTACTTATTACTTACTTAAAATTAATAAAAAGTTACGTATAAACTTTTCACTGCTGGGCAAAGGAGAATCTCAACTCATAGAAGGTTATGGAGCAATAAGTGCAAGTTGGCGGACCACACACGTCTTCGAAATATTTTTATTTCTTACACTTGCATGTTTCCTCACGATTTTTTCTTTCGTCGCTGCACGGCACCTAAAATTACAATTATTATTATAAGAATTTCATTGGAGAATCTAACCTGTATCGTTCATATAGTCAATTTTACGGCAGGTCGCTAAGCTTCTGAACCATCCATGTTCTGAGAACACTACGCTGACAGCTTAAAAAACTCCACATTGGCCAATCCTTTCCCTGATTTAAGCTACAGACTTTCGAAGACATTTTTTTTCCGCTCAAGGTGGTCGAAATGAAATATAAAGATGCGTATAATCACCACGAGTGCTTGCGCAAGCACAGGGGCACTCTATTTCCCTCACTCTCATAGTCTTTCAAGACGGCAAGCCGACATGACTTTACCTGCTTTCCAAGGCACTCGCTTGAAATACTGCCAACATCTTCACTCATTTGAGTATTTTTTATTCTTCACTAGCTTTTTACCCGCGGCTTCGCTTGCGTGGGCTTGAATTAAGAAACATCAAAAATAATATTTCGTACTAAAATTAGCAAAACAGGAACACTTGTTGGAAATGATTAAAATTTGGCAATATGCTACAGAAACACGTGAGTTTATCTGAAATGCACTTATATCTCAAGGTGGTCGAAATGAAATATAAAGATGCCTATAATCACCACGAGTGCTTGCGCAAGCACAGGTACACTCTATTCCCTCACTCTCATAGTCTTTCAAGACGGCAAGCCGACGTGACTTTACCTGATTTCCAAGGCACTCGCTTGAAATACTGCCAACATCTTCACTCATTTGAGTATTTCTTATTCTTCACTAGCTTTTTACCCGCGGCTTCGCTTGCGTGGGCTTGAATTAAGAAACATCAAAAATACTATTTCGTACTAAAATTAGCAAAACAGGAACACTTGTTGGAAATGATTAAAATTTGGCAATATGCTACAGAAACACGTGAGTTTATCTGAAATGCACTTATATCATACGTACTTTTTTATTGGGCATGTCTTCCGCTGTGTCTTCATGAAGGGAAAATTGCCCTAGAATCAGAAATGCGTTATTTACATATTATTCATAATTAAAGTTCATATAGTTTTGACAAAATAATGTTGAATTTCATGGTCTTTATTAGTATTGGCCCCATTGAATTTTGATTGGCACCATAAAATACATGCCAGCAATTTTTACGTTCGAGTAGACTTCAAAATTTCGTATGTAGTTTTCTATTCACGGTGAACATGAGAGAACTATATTCACGAACGGAAGTAGAAATATGCAGAAGATGGGCAGTAGCGTCTTCCTGATCATATCTCAAAATAATATAAATTTGCAGTTGGCAACTTGTATGCGAAGCGTGGCAACTACGGCAAATATCCAACTTATTTTGCAATCCATGAAAAGAATCCAATTAAGGGGAAATAGAAAAAATACTACCTCGAATGGCTTAGCAAGATCCTCCGTTATGCCGAAAACATTGCAGCATTAATTTTGAAACAAATATATGGTAAAGTTGAGGATTAATATTAAGTACTATGTTAGACCAAAACACGATTCTGTAAAGTTTTCTCGATAGAAAAAACATCCAACTTACCTCCAAACTGAACAATAAACCGCTGGTATTCGTAAAGTACTTTAAATTAGATCATGAAACTTTGCATACTAACTGAACTAACTATAAAGTAGGGCTTATGTTTTTTATTATTTTTAAATTACCATTATTTTCACTGTAAAAAGAAATTACCTAAACTATCGGCGTCTTGAAGCTTGTTTCCTGCCGCCCGATTAGTCTCGCTTCGGCATTCGAACGGGGAAGCTGTGCCACTTACGATAAGAATACATATTACGCAACAGGACGACGTAAAATTAAAATGGGAAATAACCGTAATAAAAATAGGAAGTGACTGAGTCGGAGCAAAGAAACAGACATAAATATGATAAACCTAATGAAATAAGTATCTACCAACCTATCTACTTACAGTATTACTGATTACAAAAATATCGGTACATAGCATATGACGCGCGGGGAAGTGGGGGCGAAATTAGAATTTGAGTTGAGTTACTATATCCCCTTAAT